CACTGTGTCTCATCTCAAGTTTCCGCAAGTGCTCCAAACAGGAATTCATGGGGCAGGGGGTTATCCCACACACCCATACGTACTTCAGCTAGGGAGTCACACTGGGGATATCCACATTATTCATATACAACCAGTAATCCTCCAGACAGGGAGACTGACTAGGGGTATCCACACATCTCACACCCTACAAGAGAACTGGCAACACAGCATGGGGGATGGCCAAATTCTGCAATTGCTCCCAGAAGGAAGTCTGTTGGAATGGGGGCTAACAGAGAGGCAACTCCTGATTCTGGCACCTCAGGCATGACCTTAGGGTCCAATGGGTACTGGGCTCTTGCAGCTAACACTGACTTTCCATCTGCTGACCTTGGGTTCAAGGGACAGTGTTCCCAAGAAATGTCCATTGTGGATCCGGGGAATACCACCCCTCCAAGGGATGCTGGGTTGAGCTCAGAGGGCACAGCCAGCCAGCAGATGGGCAGGTCGACCAGGTACGTGGGGCAGCAAAGTCCTGACCTATTGAGCCTGGCAGGCGAGCAGGTAGGTCAGGCAACAGCACCAGGGCATCCTGAGGCAAGTGGGCAGCAACATCTTGACTCACCCAGCTTCGTTGGAAATGGAAGGGACCAAGCAAACTCTCCCGGTCCGAGGAGGTCGCAAAGGGCCAAGTGCCCACCCAAATATCTTTCAGATTTTGTGAAGTTGCTGTCCAGTTCCAGGAGTAATGCCCTTAAAGTCATTGACTGATAATGTTATTTTGTTTTATTTATGATTTTGGGTATAGTAATTCACCAAAACAATGGGAGACACTTGTGGGTGGAGGCAACGTCAGGCACTCCTTCCAAGCTTGACTGTGAGGAAGTATGACACTCTTCCCAAAGAAGAATGTTAAAAAAAGGTCAGGATTGATTCAAGCTAGGGGGAAGGGATGTTGTGTCCTGAGCCTGAAAATGCAGGCTCGGGACATTGCAATGGTCACGGGCTTTGCAGAAGCTGCCCTGGACCAGACTGAGTGGCGCCGGCTTGTGCGCATGCGCAAGGCAGGAAAAGCACCTGCCATTATGTCCGGGGATCTGGGCTTATAAAAGGAGGCCTGCATGCCTTTGCTCGTTGTTGGAGTTTGGGCTGAAATGAAATAAAGAGTGGTTCAAGGAAAGATGTGTCTTCATCATTTGCCATTACTGCGAAGACTTAACAATTGGTACTTGAGGTTTTGCTTATTTACTTTTGGTGGCCCTGATACATTTATATATGAATTCTCTCTACTCTAAGAATTACTAGTTGCTTCCTAGCCAGATTTAGTTCTTGGAGTTTAAGTGAATGACTTTCTATACAATGGTGTAAAAGGGAGTTTGGTTTCTGAAGCCATGATCTTTGCTGGGAGGAGTGGATTGCATTTCACAAGGTCTGATTTTAAAAAGTGTTTTGCTAATGCACATCAGATATGATCAGGAAGGTTTTAAATGGAACTGAGAAGGGGACGGATATGAAAACTACAGAGTACGAATCTCAGATAAAGACTATAGAAGGAAATATGTCTATTGGAATATAAAAACTGAAGGATACAATTTGTTCAAATGAAATTCTTAACTACCACAATTGGGACTGGAAATGCCATTCCAATTTACAACCTAACTTCTCCCATTGTTGTTAAGTAAATTGTTTCATTAATAGAAAATACATGTAACTCAGAGTCGAACTGTTAGATTCTTGATGTTCTGTAAGCTTGCTTGTGTTGCAGATGTCAAAAGAACTGAAGATGTCACCTAGCTTGGTAACGAAGGAATGCAAGAAAGCAACCAAGGACACCTCAGATTAACTCTGTGTCACTCATGGACAGGGGATGAGATGAAAATAATATCATGAGGACGTTATAGGAAAAAGATGCTTTCAGGACAAGTTTATGTCATGATCAGTGCAATCTTAAAATAATATAATAGGATGCAAAAGTCATGATAATTTTTTTTACTATCTAGTTCCCTTTAATAAATATTTTCTCTTTAAAGAATGTTATTTGGCCAAAATTAGGAAATTGCCGAATAAACAGAATGCCAGTTTTATGTAAACAGTTATACTGCAATTTTCTTAGCAGAGAGTTGAAGGAACTTCCATTTTATTTTAATTATATTTCTTCCACTTGCTTAGCAAAGGACGCTCCATATTGATGACTTGTGCAGAAATCTGAACCACAAGGGAGTACAGTTTTTGAAGTGAGACCATGAACATCAAACTGAGTTTGGTGGAGGCACTATAATCTGTGCTTCTTTGGGGAGTTGATGTGAGATAGTATATTTGGTTGTTCATTATAAACAGTGAAGATGAGCATAAGCAAAAACTTTATTTTTAAAACAATCTCAGTTATTACAAAGTATACTATGTTCCAGCGTACTCACAAAGATAATTGAAATATAATAAGCACTCTATCCCCTGGATAGTGAGTATAGCTATAGATTTAATGGCATGCAACTAAAATAATTGTAAAGATGGGATTTGTGGAATTTTACTAGGTGTACACCAGGTTAATAATTTCTTAAGAGCCAAATGTCGTTTTGTTAATTTGTAAATGTTCTATCTTTCCCCAGTGTGACTTTCCTAGTGCTCCCTCAACTCATTTTATCATAATACCACCCTTTGAGATAAGATGGGCTGAGAGAAATTCACTGGCTCCAAGTCACCTAGTGACCTTACATGGCTGGATTTCCATAAGCATAAACTGTACAGTCATCTTGGAGAAGTTCTATCTATGTGGCTCTCAGATGCTGCATTGACTTCATAGCACATAATCAAATGAACAAAAACACTGGTTTATAATATTGTACAGTGGTGGATCATCTGCAAATCTAGGGTAGCATTTATTCCTAAAGTTAATTTGATACGTATCTTTGTTTAATTTCAAAATCCCCTATGAAAGAGACCACCTCAAACTTGTGACAGGAACCGCGTGGGAAATTTCCAGAAAGGGAAAGCAGGCATCAGAGAAAGAAGGGGGACATCATCCAGTGTTGACCCTGGTCTCATCTACTGGTTGCTTCAACCCCACCCCTGCGCAGTCCCACAGATTTTCTCCAAGGGGGTGACAAATATCCTTACTAATGCAGTACAAGATTAGTCAAGCTGTTAAGCTGGGGTTAAACATTTAGAAGTTTTCATTGCTTGATAATATTGTTTAATTTTTGGCTTGTTTTTATTGTCTAAACTTGGCATAAATCATACAAAAATGATCCAAGGACAACAGCTAGAGACCATTAAACATAAGCATAATTGGCAGTACTGCCCATAGGAATGACTTAATAATTAATGTGAGATTTCAAGTTTACAAGTTTTGTTTTGGAATTATTATCAGTGAATACAGGCCTGTATCTCTCTGTGCTCATGGCTTTTGGGAATCTGGGCAGAGAAGAGCTCTTTAGTGTTAATTTTTCAGCAGTTCTTTACTCCACATGCAGCAAGGCATGCTCCTCCTTTCCTAAGTATTTTTAAGTTGATTTTGGCAGGCAGAATTCCACAGAGGAAGAATAGACTGTGGGAAAGATGTACTTTACACTAGAGCACCTTTATATCCTGGCAACATTGTTTTTACTACAAAATACAGAAATACAAAATAAAATAGTATTGCCTTCATTAACACCTTGCATTCAGAGATCTTAGATACTACAAGTAGTCCTTGACTTACAATGGACCCCCACAAAAGTGACTTAGACCCAGTTTTGAAGTTCTGATGTTGCACACTCCTGTGGTCATGTGACTGCATTTTGAACACTCAGCAGCCAGTTGCATTTAAGGCTGTTTGTAGCAACCTGTGATTACATGATTGTGATTTACAGTTTTGCCAGAAACTGGCATTTACTTCCAGTTGCTGGCAAAAATTGGCAATAGTGAACAATGGGTTTGCTTAACAATCATGGCAGTTGCTTAACCATAGTTACTTACTCTGTCAGTGACAGAGTCGTCACTTAACGAGCTCTGCAAAAAAAGTTGGAAAAACACTTTAGGTCACATGGTGACCCACTTTACGACCATCACAAATTATGACTGTAATTGCCAAGCTTAATACATCTTGTAAGAGGTTCTGTAGCTTGATTAAGTTTTAAATAATAAAAGAATATTTTATTTTCTTCAGTAGTCACTCACAATTCAAACCATCCAACCACAACACCTTGGCATCTTTTCCTTGACAGAAACAATTTAAAGTTGTGCTTGACTGAACTAGTTTTAAAACAGTTCTGACATCATCCAGGAACAGCCTCAAGAGGTATAAAACCCATTAAGCTTTGTCAGGCATTTCCTTCGAAGAAGTCAGGTGAAGCATGATAGGGACCAACAATGGGATCAGCAAATATCATGTTAATATAATTTTCTGCCAGCTCAAGTGAGGATAGGTTGGCACTTTGACTTGGCAGTGGAAAAAAATGCAAAGATTAAGTTTGCATTCATTTGTGACATTTTTGTTCAGAGACATCTGTAGTGATGGTCTTTGAAATAGCAGATATAGCCAGGCAATCAAAGCCCCAGTCTTTTTTACAGGCATCTAGTACATGTGACTCACATTAAAAAGAGAGACGTTTCCACAATTTTAAATCCAATGCCTATTTTATTGTGGATGTCCTTGTTTCTAATTGATGTCTCTATGACCCTGCAGAATTGAATAGCATGGCATAGCATATTAACATAGCTCTGTCTTAAAAATTTCCATAAAGAATATGGAACATTTTAAATGTGGTAGGCGCCTAGCAGTTTTAGATACTCATTGCTAAGTATGTAGGACAACTTGGCAAGTTTGTATAGAATTTCAAAACAGATCTAAATCCCCAAAGCAGCTTATGTCCCAATTTCTTTCCATCAAACTACTGTATATTCTTCATGTGTTGTGCTCAGCTTCTGTGTTATAATTACTCTGCAAACATTTGGAAGCAACAGACATAATCTAGTTGAACAAGATTCTCCTGCTTCATGTGGAGTTTGTGTCTTGAAAACACTAACAAATTATTGAAAGAAAGAAAGAAAGAAAGAAAGAAAGAAAGAAAGAAAGAAAGAAAGAAAGAAAGAAAGAAAGAGTCCACCTGGAGGAGGCAGCTTAGGGTTGTCTCTGAGTTGAAACTTGAATCTTTTCAGTAAAGACACACCTCTTTCAGGGTATTATGCAAAATTCTCTACTTCAAATCAAAGGACAGGAAATATGAAATGCAACAGCCAGAATCCATAGGCTGTCACATAGATCAGTTTATCAACTCTTGACAAAAAAATTAGGAGGCTTGTAGTGATGGAACCATTGGAATAAATGCCCTGAAATTGTCTGAAAGCTGGATTTTTAGGAAACTTGCTGCCTCCATACTAGCAGGTTTTTGCAGCATTAACATTGTTCCTGCTCTCTTTTCTTTTTTTAAACCCTCTGTTTCTCATGCAAGATTATTTTTTAACTACAGTGGGATGAACCTGTGGCAAAAGATTTTGATTCCTTTGGTAGGAATGGTCTTGGCCATCTATTTTTATTCAGGAAAAGAAGAGTTTAAACCTGGTAAGTTACTTGAAGTAAAGGCATTTTTGAATTAAAAGAGGATGGGGGAGAAAAGAAGGGAGCCTTGCTTTTAAAAACACACAAACTGATTCAGAGCCTAACGTGAATCCTGCTTTGCATTGTTGGTCATGGATGGCTTTGCTTGGAAGTTTTTATGAGCCATCAAGCCACAAAGCAAGTAGATTTCTTTTTTCTCAGCAAGCAGGTAAGATGGGAAATATCTGGGGGTGTTGTTTTTATTTTTTAATTTTATGAAGGCTTTTGATATTCTATCTGTTCAAAATGGATTTTTGTTTGTGAAAAGTTCCCGAAAAAACAGAAAAATCTACTTGTCTTTGTTTTAAAATTTTCGTACCTGAAATGCACAAAATGGGTTACAATTAATGTCTAATTACATTGTGGGAAAGAGAGAAAGACAGAGAGTGGGGGAGTAAAAATTACTTTGGTATTATTTTATGCTCCCTTGGAATGCTAGTACTTGTTTCTGCTGCTTTCTTGTGAATTGGACTGCTATGACTAACAACTGATTTGAGGGTTGGAATTGCTAGGTATCCTCCTAATTATTTTTTTATATATACCCATTTGGCATTTATTTGGTGGAATGGGAAGCTATTTAATGTCAGCTTTATAAAACGTGGTTCTTGTATCTTATTGTCTAGAAATGTTGAAAGGGAAGCGGGTGATTGTTACTGGAGCAAGCACTGGAATTGGCGAGCAGATAGCATACCACCTAGCACAGATGGGTTCTCATCTCCTGATTACTGCACGGACAGAAGCCCAGCTCCAGCAAGTAAATATTAAATATTCATTTATCCCACTATATAATTACACTCACTAGACAAGCTCTCATACATTGAAAGGGTTAAGAGAGACAAAGAGAAGCCTCCCTCAAACTGAGAATGAAGATTAATTCTTCAAATTCAGAAAGAAGCAAGGAGGTAACTTCCACCATTCATAGGTGACTGTTAATAGCATTTTTCTTCTTTGGCTGATTAATGGGGTCAGACTGCACTACATCTTAAAATCCCAGGGATACAGAAAGAGAACTGCTTCATCTAGTAGGAAGAGTCAGGGTAAGATCTCTAGAGCAGTTCCTTCTCTGTCTGTGGTGAAATGTAATTTGATCTCTTGCTGTGATGTTAGAAAGCAGGGGTGACAGCCTGGTCCAATGGGCTGGTCTAATGGGTAAAGTCAAGTCAAGTCAAGTCAATACACACACACATACATACATACATACATACATACATACATAAATATATACATAAATAAATATGCATAATCATAGGCAGGAAGGGAGGATGGTAAATATTAAGATTTGGGAGATATTTAAATTTTTAAATTGTGGATCCCAGGTTTTAGTTTTAGTTTATTATCAACAGCATGTGAGTATGTTTGCACATCTTTAAGTATACATGTCTATGTGATTGTATTTCCAGCCATGCACCTGATAAAAATGTATCTTCTGAAAAATGTATCCTTTTCCACCAATTCAAGATTAGATGGATGGCACTTTATTTTGGCACAATGAAGGCACCTGAATTAGTTTTTGAACATGTAGTAGATATTCATTCAAAACTTAATATAATATTAAGTTCAGAACTACAAGCCCAGGCTATCTTTAAAACAGTTAACTCATATTTTATTTGAAACAATAGATTGACTATACACATCTACACATAATATTTAGCAAAGGATGTGTTTTTGCCACTGCCCTCTAGAGACAGACAGAAGCTGCAGCATCAACAAAGATAAGTTGGAGTATTCCTTAAAATAGGGGTGTCAAACTCAATTTCACTGAGGGCCACATCAGGGTTATGATTGACCTCGGGAGGGCAGGGGGTGTAGTTGGCATGGGCATGGTTGGGGTGGGTGTGGTTGGGGTGGGTATGGGCGTGGCCAGCTCAACATGGCTTGTATTGGGGGCACCTGTGGCAGGACTAGGGGGATTCATTGTCTCCAGTGGAGAAAGGCAAGACCAGGACGAGCACCAAACTCTTGTTCCTCTCAGGCCATGCGGAGGACCCCCAGACAGCAGCACAGGCTGCCTGGAGCCCTGGGCAGTGGAGGGCAAGCGCCTAGTGTGGTCCTCAAGCTACCAGGGTACTGGGACCCCACAGCCCAGCCCAGTCCTGCTGTCTCAATGGGGCACCCCGCTGCGCTTACCTCCTCTTTGAAACTGCTGCTGCTGTTCTTGCTCTCCTTGGCCAGGTTGCTCATGATGTGTGCAGAAGGGCAAAGTATGTCGGTCAGAGGGAGGCCCTTCCTTCCTTCCTTCCTTCCTTCCTTCCTTCCTTCCTTCCTTCCTTCCTTCCTTCCTTCCTTCCTTCCTTCCTCCTTCCCTTTTCTTCTTTTTCCTTCCCTCTTTATTCTCCTTTCTTTCTTCTTTCTTCCTTCCCCTCTTTCCTTGTTTTTTCTTTGTCTTTCCTTTTTCCCTTTCTCCTTTCCTATCCCTTCTGGATGCTCAAATGCAAAAGGGGAAACATTTCTCAATGCCCTCTTGCCTTGTGATCAAATGCCACTTTTGCTAGTAGTTTGTGGCCACTTAAAAGACTGAGAACAAACCAGGCTCAGTTTATCCCATGCTTGCTTTTAGTGGGGGCATCCACAGACAACAGTACAGCAAAACTGTCAAAATGGTGGCTGTGATAGTTAATCAAAGTTCTTCTGTTTTTTATGTGCAACAGCTTTAGCTTTTATGAGCAGAGATAGGTTAGTTGTTTTTCTATTATTACATAATCCTTAAAGGGGCTCTCCTGTAGGGAGCCTGCCTTAGTCTAATTCAGACTGGAAATATACCAGAGGAAAATATGTTTCCCCACTCTGCTTTGTCCTGTTTTCAGTGGCACTTTGGTGCCTGGCCCAGCAAAGTGGAGCCAGGCGTGGTGAGGTGAGGCCTGGCAAAGCAGAGCCAGATGAGGAGAGGCCCAGTAAAGCAGGGCGAGGCCAGGAGGGATGGGGCAGAGTGAGGCAAATGAGCTGCAGCTGTTCCTGCACACCACCAGCATCTGAGCACTCTCCATTTCCTATGCGTGCGCCAGGAGGGCACCCAGCTGGGGTGGGGTGGGTCAGGGCTGGAATAGTGAGGGTTGGTCCCTTGCCATTTCTGGAACAGCTCCAGGGGCCAAATTTGGGCTGGACCTGGCCTGCGGGCCTTGTGTTTGACATGTCTGCCTTAAAATCTGAAAATTGGCACTTGTTACTTATGAAGAAAGGAAAGGATGGGAAGATACATCATAATCCAAAGTACTGCTTGTGATTCAGATTCCTTCATGAGTCAAATCTGTCTTGTTTTTAATTTTATTGATTTATTTATTAACTTGTATTTAACTTTAAAAATGAGATATACCATAGCAGGTGAGGCACAGGAAGGTGGCTAGACATGAATGATGATTCAAACAGTCAGACCTATCCTATTTCTATGACAGTATTCTTACTGTTGTCATGATAGGTGGATTAGTCTTCCAGGTAGTGACATGTTGAGGAGGGAGACCAATGAAGTCAGAGAATTCAGCCTTTGCTTATCATTTGTTGCATATCTGACAGTATGATGTGAATCAGAGCAATGGCCGTAGAAGCTGCATAGTGCTTTGCAAAGGGGCCAGTAAATTTCATGCTGCTATCCTTTTCCACTGATTCAAAAGTAGATGTATGGCACTGTATTTTGGTACAAAGAAATTACCTGAATAGGTTTTGGAATATGTAGTAGATATTCATTCAAAACTTCTCAACCATTTGCAAACGTTCTCATTCCATATATATACACTTATATATATATAGACTATACTTTTCTTCCATCCAATCTGTTGAATTTGAACTTTCATAATTCTCAGTCAATCCACTAAAGGTATATGAACTTAGGGAAGGCTGATGTTTTAAAAACATAAGTGAATAGGGTGGGTAATAGCACTGAGAAATAAAGAGTTTCTGGCAAAGATATACTAGTGTTAATAAAGCTATAGTAAACGCAGAAGTAATAGGAGGAGATCCCTTAATGCAGACATGTCAAACTCGCGACGTCATGTGATGTCATGCAACGTATTGGAGCTTTTTTGCCATTGCCGGCAACGGGGTGGGCGCAGCTCTGGTATGATGAAACCAGCCTGCAGACCAGCAGTTTGACACCCCTGCCTTAATGGAAAGCATATTGTCTCTGTTATGTTTGGTGTTCGATGAGGCATCGACGAGGCAGCAGGTGAAACAAGCAACTCTTTATTAAAGGTTTTAACACAGGTTTGGATAACTGCCACTCCACCCCTTTATATACACTCAGCCACTAGGTGGTGGCCAATAGGATTCAAGTATTGTTCCCTCTTTTAACACAAGTAATTAGCATGGAAACAGAAAGTCTGGCTCTTAACTGACAGAGTCTTATGACCATTTTTTCAATATTTACAAGTAATTCACCTCAATACATTACAGTGTCTCCCTTGCATGATCATGGCTGATCTCAATAGATAGACACACAGAGCGACAAAGAGAAAGAGAGAGAGAATCTGATCATCTATAGAAAAAATATTTTTTCAACTCACTATTGACTATTGGCTTTAGCTAAAGCAATGCAAGCAAACTTCCAGATGAAATCTATCCCATCCTTCTCCATGACTATCGGACAATGCACAGATTTTGCTGTGCTTTCTAAGAAACCTGTTTCAATGGTAAGTGGGAACATTTTCAGGTGAGACTTTGAAATCAGTCCCTAAGTTCAAATCAGACTTTAGTATATTTACTCAACAACAGAGTTTATTTTGGGATACCAACCTCTTTGCAGCAAAAATCAATATATCATCAATTCAGCAAATGTTGCGAGCAATATATTACACATAACTAGTTTATTTTTTTCTGGTTCCTGAATTTAAGGGAAAAAATTTCTTGGTTATTTACAGAATATGGTTACTGAAGTTCCATGGTTTCAAATATTTTTTCAGATTTATAAGCCCAGCATGACTACCAAAGAAAGTGCTACAAATCCAATATTTAAAATGTTCTTTTTAATAAATGTTTGATAGGGGGAGTTGTACATGAAAAAGCTGAAAATGCTTTAAGCTGAAATTGTTAATGAGGTGGTTTTTCCAGTGGAAATTCCCTACTGATAATGTTGATCCAATAAGCAGATTTAAAATGTGATGTCAAAATATCCTTGTAAACTGATTATTTGGTTTCTTCTTTGCAGTACTCTACAGAAATTTGATTTAATAAATGTGAGCGCAAAGAGTTTAAAAGATGAAATAATTTCTACTAATTTTACTTTTCTATTTGCTTTAGGTGGTTGCTCATTGCTTAGAGTTGGGTGCAGCATCTGCCAGGTACATTAATGGCAGTATGGAAGATATGAAATTTGCTCAGGCTGTGGTGAAGAAAGCAGAGGTATTATGGGGTATGTTGACTTTATAAGAACATGAGATGATTTCATGGTGTCCAGCCTCCTATTTCTAACTAGCTAGATGCTTCCAAAAGCCCAGAACTAGGGATTAGAATGTGAAGATAGTGGTCTTCTGTAATTTATATTTAGTGACTCAGAGATTCATCACACAACCATCATGGTTAATAATTATTGATTGAGCTATCCTCCTTGCCTTTGACTTTTCAACACTCCCTCCAACTCCAAAAACCTGGTATATTCCAGCTAAGTAAGCATTGTACTAGCTAGGAATAGGAGTTGACAGGTTGTAAAATAGACTCTTGTTCATGGTGACCATAAGGGTGAAATAAATTTGGACATGCTTTCAAGACTGATGACAGCACTTTAAGATGGACCAGGTGAAGAAGCTGGCATAGCCAGGATTTCAGGAATGCTCTTTATTTTATTAAAGTAGAATAATAGATTCTTGAAAGCCTGTTTCTCTATCCCTTCTTATACCAAACAAAATTAAGTATTCTGAGTTTCTTTTTCACACTTTCCTCTTTTTTAGGATTGTGCAATCTTTTCAGCAAGTCCCAATCCCCTTTAATGGCTTGCTCATTTCTTCCTTATTCTCAAGGATAGAGCTACATTCCTTCACAACTGCCCAGCATGTTGTATAGCTACATAACAGCACTGTTGTTTTTAGACTGCAGCTTGGCACTTTTATAACAAACATATGGCTTAAGTTCTTCCTGGCTCTTGGATGGGGAGGGGCATGTACTCCTATTCTCTTTCCGGCACTATCTCAGAAGCAGGACAGCATCTTTCTCTTTCAAAAGTGCTATGATCTTTGTCTTCTCTTTCTCAATTTCTGAATATCCAAAAGCATCACTAGACTGGTAAAATTCTATTTAAACCACTTAGGACAATGCAGCTACATGTCTTGGGAATTCTGTATGTTAATAATATATATTAGGTAGAGCAGCATGGTGACCTAGTGCTGAAGACACTCATCTACCAATTGGAAGATTGAGAGTTCAATCCTAGATAGTGGCAGATGTTTCTCTCACAGGGCACAAAAAGAAAATATCTGCTACGAACTCTATGTTGGAATTAGGAAGGGCATCCAGCTAGTAAATGCTCATCTCCATTTCCTGTGCTCCCATGGACTAAATGTGTAAACTAAATGATTTTCTATTAATGGTATACTGGGATTCCTACTATGTCACAAGGAAACTGTGACATAGATATTGAGAAGTCCTTGGTCAAACTAAATCTGAGAAAACAATCCTCCCAATTTGTTCTCAGTTCTAATCCCTCACAGCTTCCTAGAAGGAAAATGTTTTGCTTTCTTCTCTACTACCTGAATATTTTATCTTCCCTAGTGACTTCAGGTGACCTTCAAGTGTCATTAGTAGATGGTTAAAAAGATTTGCTCAAATGAGGTAATCAATTTGCAAATGAACCATTCATTTATTAGTTTATTTCCATTCTAATCGGACCTCTCAACTATTTGTGTGATTCATATAAGGAAAATTCACTTTGTGTTTTGTATAGCATACAGTGTACTCAAGAACTGCTTTGTAAATAATTATCACAAAGAGTTTAGGATTACCAAATAAGTAATATAATTGCAGAAAAGAATTAGAAATTAACTGAGACTTTGTACTGAAATCTTCTAAAGCAACATAAAATCAAGGCCAGCTCAAAGTATGTAGTTATCCAATACTGCAGCTAAAATATTTGATCACAATGATATACCTGTATGTGCCTTCATCTATCAACCTAGTATAACTAGATAATTTATCTTTTCCTTACAGGAAGTCTAGATATGCTGATTCTGAATCATATTGGCAGGTCTTACTTCAATTATTTCAATAGGGACATTGAGCATGTGCAAAAGCTTTTGAACATCAATTTCCTAAGCTATGCAACAATGACAGTTTCAGCTCTTCCCATGCTTATAAACAGTGGAGGAAGCATAGTAGTTGTTTCATCTTTGGCAGGTCAGCATTAATTCATAATGTACAGTGACCTCAGAATCTTAAAGCTATTACCAATATTATTGATTTTCCTGTTGTCAGAATCAATTGTGATGTTGGCTGTTATACTCATAAGACTGCAAGCTTAAATGATTACAGCTTATGCATATTCCACCTTCCTTTCTAATATGCATAATTATCCTGTGTGGTGATCAAATCACTATTTTAATACATTTTTGCAGTTGAGATATTTCATATTACAGAAAGAAATGATTTCTAAAGCTTCTGCAGGTGCTTGTTCTTTGAAGCACAATAAGGGTTAGATTTTCACAAAAAAGATTCTGGCATATATTACTTTTTATAATATGCAGAATATATTCTGAGTTTTGGCAGGTGCATACTCAAATATCCTGTGTTCTTCAGAGTTTGTAGACTTTCTTATTATCCTTTACCTCTGCTTTTGATATATTCCTATCATAAAAGTATAAAGCCTCACTTTTTGAAAGTATGTTTAGTACAGCGGTTCTCAACCTATGGGTCGTGACCCCATTTGGGGTCAAACGACCATTTCACGGGGGTCGCCAAACAATGCAGTTCGCCATTTTCCCCCCTTTTCCTTAGCTGTGCTACTCCCTTTTATTCTATTGGCTTTTGAAAGCCAATAGAATAGACTCTCTTGAATAGAGTCTAATTCTATTGGCTTTCAAAAGCCAATAGGAATTGTCCAGGCTGTCTCTGCCCTGCTGAGCCCGCCAAGAGTCCCATTCTGCAAACGGTGCTGCAAGTTGTCTGAAGCGAAGGTGAGCTGTCTGGAAGTTTCCACCCCTCCCTGCTGAGCAACTACTAAAAATGTAAGTAAAAGAGGGCCAGGGGTGGGAGGTGGGAGGCCAGCGGGCGTAAGGAGGGTTGCTGGTGCACGTGGAGCCCGGCGGGTGCCTTACCTCCCTTGGGCTGGGCCAGCTGGTGGCCCAGCCAGTGGTCAGCCTGCTCCGTCTCTGCCGCTTGCCAGCTACGCCTCGGCCAGCGCAGGGGGCGGCACCACGCATGCACGGCGCTCCCAGGCAGGAAAAGTCCTTGACTTACGACCAGTTGGGTAGTCCTCAACTTATGACCGGTTGGGTAGTCCTTGACTTACGACTGGTTAGGGGTCGCGGCATTAAAAAGGTTGAGAACCACTGGTCTAGTATGTCAAATCAGAATAATACCAGTTTAGTGAGGGTTACTTGATTATCATTAAGGGCTTTTAAAAATGAGTAATGTTTTTATAAGTTCATGTTAGAACTACTTGAGCTCTATAATGGAAAGCAAAAAATGCTTGTTAAGTTACATAAAAAGTCAGAAATGGCAAAGCATTTTATTTATTTATTTATTTATTTATTTGCATTTCTGTTCAATGTATCTAAGAAAGTTATCTCTCAAGGAAAGGAGGCTTGTGTCACATATGAGTTTGGGACATGGTTAAGATAAAGAATGAAAAGTGAATTTTGGGAAGCAAAATGCAACACATTACCTTTTTATTTAGTTTTCCAGTATAGAAGCATGAATTTTCTGTTTATTTTTAATATTATAATACATTGAAAATTCATTTTAAAAATAGATTCTTTCTACTGGATGCAAATTGACAGTTATTTCAGTAATTCTCACTCAAATTATTCAGTCTTCAATTTTTTTTAAAAAAATCTGTATGTTCTTCTCCATTCACAAGAAACAATTGAATGTATTGTTAATACGTGTTAATAATATATCTACATGTTTAAAAATACAGATTGTTCTTGACTTACAGCCAGTTGCTAAATATCATTCAAAATTTTAGTGCCCTAGCTAGCATGACTGCAGTTGCCGAACATGACTGGCATGAGTCAGCAAATGAAGTGAGAAAAGGAGAGAAGAAGCATGGTTCTGAGTTTGGATGGTAGCTGTCACAAGGTTGCTAGTCACGGCTGTTGTGGGGTGATGCAGAGACAACTATTCCATTGATCCAGCCTTGTATGTAGGTGCTGGGGAGTAGAGCTCGGGGAGGGGGCACACCATCTGGGGAACGTGCTGTACTCTGATTAAACAATGAAGAAAGAAGAGAAAAGGAAGGAGAGAAAAAGAATGTAAAACAGTGGATGGGGAGAAAAGTTAAAGTTCAATTAGCCTCCAGTGCAGTTGGTAGTTAATGGTCCAAGAGGGAGAAAAAATGCCCATAAGTGGCTTCCTTGGAAGAAGGCAAGGGAAGACTCAAAAAGAGGTGTCATCTTCATGAAAGACAGGAAAAAGGGGATTGTTGGTCATTGGTGAAGCCCTGATCTCTGGGGAAGAACTGAGCAGAAGACCCTGAGAGTGGTTCTTCCCCAAACAGAGAAGCAGTAGGTGTTCAATTGAGCAGATCCAGGAGAAAGTCAATCCATGCTGAGCACACTAGAGTAAATCCAGCCCTCCCCTCTCTTTTCATTTCTTCTCCATAAGCCCAGAAATGGGGGAAGGGAAGCACAGTGAAAAGTGGAAGAAATGAGAATTAGAAAGAATCGTCTCTGGGAGGGAGACTTAGGAGGAAACCTGGCACTGAGTAAAAACACTAGGTTTATGTTGTGTATATGTCTGTTCTAAATACATGTAGTAAATAACTTCACAAAATATAGTAGCAAGCATAAAAGCCTCCATTGTCTTGTTTGTGTCAATTGCCACCATTGCTAAGTAAAATATACCTCAAAAGAACTACCATATGCCACGTTGTTTACAGAATTCAGTATTATTTACTTCCAGCCAATAAGGACACTTAAGAATTTGTCTCCTAAGAGCCTAGCAGGATCTCTGAGTTGCAAATATGTCAGATAAATTACAAACTTGTACTTTAAAAAAAAAACCTGTAAAATTCTTGTTTGTGTTATGTTCTATTTTAAAATATTGACATGTTTATTGTAATGCACATACATTTTTATACATTCTTATCTTGAAGCATTTACAATCAAATACAGTGATTTTTTTAAAAAAGCATTTATTTTTGAAAGGTTGAATCTATGAGGAAAACAAAAACCAAACGAAAACAATGAGCCAATATTTATATAGAAGAAAGATGCTCTCTGTGTGCTGAAATGTTTTAATAATGGCCACTTTTTACACCTCAGGAAGAGTTGCTTTAATGACAAATAAGATGGGTAACATTTGGATAGCCAAGAGCTACTTTTAATGTATTGTGTGGATGAGGCTTGAAGACCAGAGCAGAGTTCATGATAGTGCTGATGTATAAGGGGGAGGACCACTGCAACAGCCAAGATTCATTCTTTGGATACTTCAAGGCTGAAATTATTGGATAAAACAAATGATAAGTTCATAAATAGAATCAGGGAGAAGAAAAATGTATTCCATATATCTCTAATGTTATTCTTCATGGCATAATATAAATTAAATGTATCATTCTAATTGTGGTATTTCTAGGCAAAATTGGCTTCCCATTGACTGTTCCTTATTCTGCAACAAAGTTTGCACTAGAGGGATTTTTCAACTCTTTGAGGCAGGAATTTGTTATGCAGAACATCAATGTTTCCATCACGCTCTGCATCCTTGGACTCATCAACACAGGTACAATTCTCATTTCCACATCTGATTTTTTAAGTCCTGGAATTCCTTATCAGGCTGATGCCGGCCAAGCTTGGACAAATTATTTGCTTAACATTTTTTAGAATTCATAGTCATTATGAATTATCCTTAAAGTACTAACTGATCCCCTATAAACCTGTTGACACTAGAACTCCCAGTACTCTCCAGCCATCACATAGAGCACAAAATTGGCAAATCATCATAGATTGTGAAGTCATTAAATATTGATTTGTTTTTTAAATGTTCCCTTAGCTCCCAAATAAGGATTAGTCACATTACAAAAGTAGATCGTATCTTGGAAGGCCTAATAAATAAGATCTGCCATCTGATTAGGAAAAGAACATGTAAGCTTTCATTTTAATGATGAAAAATCATTTCAGCAAAAACAATTAGTTTTATCAGCCAAATACAATAAATTCTTCTTTGCTTTTTATGGATATAATAATCTAGCTTTTCTGTAGCTTGAGACTTTCAGTTATGTTGAACTGAAGAATATACAGTATAAATCCAATATTTAAGAATATATAATATAAATCCATATTGATATCTGCAGTAGTGAAGATTATTTCAATCCATTTGGATCTTCTAACGTTTTTTTAAAGTAACAAAAAATATATTTTTATAATTCATATCTTCATATCTTATAATTCATATCAGACATGTGTATATGCACGTGTTCCCAAATCTTTCTCCCTTAGATGCATCTTTTATAAATTTTCCTTTTAAATGGTTTTCAAATTTACATTGTGCTGTGTATGTTCAGGTAGTCCTTGACTTACAACCATTCATTTAGTGACCGTTCAAAATTATAATGGCAATGAAAAAAGTGACATGACCATTTTTCACACTTACCACTGTTGCAGCATCCCCATGGTCACATTATCAAAACTCAAGTAACAAAAATGGCAACTGACTCACATTTATGACAGTTGCAGTATCCTGGGATCATGTGATCCCCTTTTGCAGATCAATGGGGAAGCCAGACTCACTTACCAACTGTGTTACTAACTTAAAAACTGAAATGCAGCGAACAACTGTGGGGGAAAAAGGTCATAAAATCAGGCAAATTCACTTACAACTGTCTTATTTAGCAATAAAAATGTTGGGCTCAATTGTGGTCATAAGCTGAGATATCTGTATCTGTTTTAGTAATTGCTACAGAAATCTATATCCTCTCTCCCTCCCTCCCTCCCTTCCTTTCTTCCTTGTCTGTTTTTTATAAAAATAATCTGAAAGGATCTAACAACACATATTAACGAAACATACAAGATTATACAATTAAAATCTAGATTTGAACAATAAATGACATGTAAGTTTGACCAATGCTTAGAGCTGAGGGCCATAGCTCACACAACTTGCTATGAATCATAGCATGAATAGGTTGGGAACTTCATAAAAAGAATATTTGAACTGAAAATTCCCTCTCTTGGGTTTCTATGCAATGAATCATCAGTAGATTGGGCATTGTCAAGTATGGTAATTATAGGGCTATAATTATATACATACATACATACATACACACATACATACAAAACTTTGAGTGTTTTTTGATGCACCCTGTCAGCCCAAATATGGGAGAAAGAAATATTTTGCCAGTATCAGCTCAATCTAGAGCCATCAATGGAATAGCTATTTCGAGCTCCTTAGCTCTCATCAGCCAAACATACCCTTCTGAGATTTGAACCTGGGCTGCTTGCACGTTAGGCACCTGTGTTAACCTCTAGGCCACAGGCTCTTTCTCACTTTGTCAGCTGTGTCAGAGAGGGAATAGACAGGGGAGGAGGATATATATATGTCTTTGATTATTCGGGTTTTCTCCCGCATCAAATTAGAAGTGTCTTGGTGATGTTTCGACGAAGTCTCATTCGTCATCTTCAGGCTGGTGCTTTCGGCTTCGTGCTTCTAGGAGCAATGTGTGATCGTAGCTGTTTCTTCCTTTCAACTGCCAGTGGGGGTATGAACTGATTGGATGACAGCTTGGCTGTGTTCTGATTGGATGGAGGTGTGTTCTGATTGGTTAGGAGCTTGGCTGTGCTCTGATTGGATGGGTGGTTGGCTGTGCTCTGATTGGATGGGGGGTTGGCTGTGCTCTGATTGGTTGGGGGAGTGTTCTCTTTGGGTGGGGGCTTTGTTGTGCTCAGGTTAGTCTGAGTTGCACGGGGATGTGAGATGGTGAGCTGCATTGCTATTGTTTGGCTTTGCGTTCGTGGTCGTGCCTCATCTTCATGGTGGGTGTCAGTTTGCTTCATGTATGGATTGGAGGGGTTTAAAGTGGCTAATGATGCAGCTGTGGTCTGGCTTCTGGTTTGTGGTCGTGCCTCATCATCGGTGTGGGTTTGGGTTTGCTTTTTGCGTGGACGTGTGGTGGTGACATCCTGTGTGGCTTTTGTGAGTGTGGGTCTGGTGTCATTCTTTGTGTTAGGGACTCGTTTGTCAATAAGGGCGGGTTTCCAAATGGTTGGTACGTGGGAGGTATTTTTCTGTTTGTGCAGAATGCTGTTTTGATGTTGTGTTTATGGAGGATCTTACTGATTCTGTCTGTGGTGCCTTTTATGTAAGGGAGGAGGGCTTTGCCGTTTTCTTGTTCTCTGTCTTGGGTTTTAGTGGGGGTTTCTTTTTGGATTAGTTTGGTAATCTTATTTCTTTGGAATCCATTGGATGTAAGTGCATTAGTGACAGCATTCTGCCCAAACAGAAAAATATCCACCATCCTTAGAAACCCCAAAGATAAAATTGAATTAGAAAATCAAGGAGTATATGAAATCCCATGCACTATGTGTCCCATCACATACATCGGACAAACCAAGAGAAGAATAAGTGCACGCATTGAAGAACATAAGAACTCAGTCAAAAAAGAGGAACCAACTTCTTCCCTGGTCCAACACCTTAAAATCACAGGACATGAAATTGACTTTAAAAAGACCAGAACTATCGCCAAAACTGAACACTTTAATAACAGAATAATCAGAGAAGCCATTGAGATAGAAAAGCGGCCACACAGCATGAACAAATGAGATGATACCTCCCACGTACCAACCATTTGGAAACCCGCCCTTATTGACAAACGAGTCCCTAACACAAAGAATGACACCAGACTCACACTCACAAAAGCCACACAGGATGTCACCACCACACGTCCATGCAAAAAGCAAACCCAAAGCCACACCGATGATGAGGCACGACCACAAACCAGAAGCCAGACCACAGCTGCATCATTAGCCACTTTAAACCCCTCCAATCCATACATGAAGCAAACTAACACCCACCATGAAGATGAGGCATGACCACGAACGCGAAGCCAAACAATAGCAGTGCAGCTCACCATCTCACATCCCCGTGCAACTCAGACTAACCTGAGCACAACAAAGCCCCCACCCAAAGAGAACACTCCCCCAATCAATCAGAGCACAGCCAACCCCCCATCCAATCAGAGCACAGCCAATCCCCCATCCAATCAGAGCACAGCCAAGCTCCTAACCAATCAGAACACACCTCCATCCAATCAGAACACAGCCAAGCTCTCATCCAATCAGTTCATACCCCCACTGGCAGTTAAAAGGAAGAAACAGGTATGATCACACATTGCTCCTAGAAGCACGAAGCCGAAAGCACCAGCCTGAAGATGACGAATGAGACTTCATCGAAACATCGCCAAAACACTTCCAATTTGACGCGGGAGAAAACCCAAATAACCAAAGACCTACATACAAACATCCGCAAAAACCTCAGAAAACACACACACACACACACACACACACACACACACACACATATCATTACCAATTCACAATTAACTTTTTATTCTCTCATAAACATGCAAATTTGAATTGATAATTATCTAACGGAAAATAAAAGTGTGTTTTTCTGCTTCCATCATTTCTAGCACTCTAGAAATCCTGTTCTGAATGTCCAATACTTAGATGACATTTGCACTAACTATAACACAATTCATTAGAGCTTCATAGGACTGCTGTTGCTTGGGCTTGTTTTGTAGGAAGTGGAAGAATACATTAGATATAATCCACACCTGCAAAATTCATGAAACGTTACTTGGAAGAAACTAAGAACTTCAATGTGAAAAAATGTATTTGTTTGGATTACCAAAATTATAATTTCTTATCTGTTTGTGTAAGGTACAATATATATGAGGATGTCTTACTAAATGATGTGGGCAGTAAGAAAAGTTCAGTGGAAGATAATTTGTAGTGATCTGGTTCCTCAGCAGTGAATACTTTCTAACTAACATTTCTCTACTCTTAGAAAATGCCATGAAAGCAGTATCTGGTACATTCACTCCTCCACCTGCCCCAAAAGAAGAATGTGCACTAGAAATCATTAAAGGGGGCATTCTGCGGCAGCGGGAGATTTACTATAAATATATATATACAAAGATCCCTACACTTTTGCGAGATTGGGCTCCAGAACTTTTGGACTATATGCTTCGGTTATGTTTTAATGTGGACAATCAAAAACAAGATTAATAACAATCTGTCTATTCGCTGCCTCTGCATTTTTCTTTTCTGGCTATGCAAGTTAGAGTTTTTCAAACTTGACCACTTTGAGATGTGTGGAAATTGAAGTCCACAGAATTTAAATTTACCAAGTTTGAAAAACATTAATACAATCCATAAAAGAGAATATTCATTGAACTGGGTTGAACTGTAGTGTGCTTGGTGCTCTCTGAACTTGATTATTTTGTGGCAGATGTTTCATTACCAAACTGATCTTAAGATTCACTATGCTGTTAGACTGTATATAGACCCGAAATCCAGTTCTGTGGCTTGGGATTTAAGGCTATCAGTGATTGAATTACGGATATTTATATTCTGGAACAGGACAAAGGAAATAAATGTGGATATCTTAGAAAAACTCAGTTTAATGATAAATATTTTGTATGCTCTTAAAGTGCATCCAGTTGATTGTTTCTCTTAATCTGCATTCAGAACAAAACATGGCATAAAATGAAAAAAGTTATAATGCTGAGTTTCATAGTTTTGAATCAATTCCTTATGCAGATTTCTTATATAGAGAGGAGGTCCAGCAAATAAGTGCAAGGTACCCTCTGGCTTGGACTGATAGGAAGCACTTGATAGTTAACACATCTGGTATTAAACATTTGGCAAAAAAAAGTACATTTTTAAATTTTTCAGTTTTAAAATTGTTTCAAAAAAATCAGTTGAAAATGTTTATAGTAATTTTATTAAAGACATTAATTCTAATTACAATTAATGCAAACTAAAACAAAAAAACAAAAAAAGAAAAAAAGAGAGAAATGGTGAAGAATGTAAATAAAGAAAAAGAAAAGAAATATATAAAGTGTCTTTTAATCTTCATCAAAGCAATTTAAGGTTGCTCTTTTTTACTTCTAATAATAATAATAATAATAAAGTTGGAAGGGACCTTGGAAGTCATCGAGTCCAACCCCCTGCTCAGGCAGGAACCCTACACCATTTCAGACAAATGGCTGTCCACTTTAGTCCATTCAGATAAGGTAATAGAGCTTGATTTCTTCATTTTTTCTTTGCCTTCTTGTCTTTCTTCTTATGAGATTCTTCAAAACTTTAATAAACCACTTTTGCAAATCTAATATAGGAAAAATATCCAGATTGCTTTCTTGATTTATTGTTTGTATGTTCCTTTTAGTTATTAAAACATCATCCAGTTTCTTTTGTATGTTCATCTTTTTCCATGCCATCCTTGTAGCCTGTCATTTGTAAATCCTCTTTCAGTCTTGTCAGATAAAATTTGCTCCTCTTCCATAACATCTTTTAGACACAGTCTCTCCATAGAGGCATATGTGTCTGTTGACACTATTAATGCTAATTTTTGATCCAATTTTTTCAAAAATATCATTCAATATGTCCAAAGTTAGAATATTTTGCTCCATTCTGAAATTGTACATCTAGTTTATGTGTTCTCCACATTAAATTCAAATCTTTAGTTCCCTCTAGTGTCCATTTTTTAAAATCTTATATTCTGTTTTTTAAAAAATATAACAAAAAGGCATTTCTCTAATGGGAAGGATTCTTTATAATTAATTCCAAAATGTTATTTCAAATTTACCTGGACTGTTAGTCCATTTATAATTTTCTAAAATCAAATGTTTAATCAGCGTTTTTCTGTTTATTCTCCATTTTTTTAAGTTCTTAAACTTGTAGTTAAAACTTTCTTTTGATAAAGACTGAAGAGAAACTCATCCAGTGCTATCAAACTTGTCAATACAAAGGTGTCCAAAAACTGAAAAGCAATTTACAAGCAATTTCTGAAATTGATTAGAAAAGGATGCAAAGTCAGTATCCTTTTAAAGACACTGGCCACAGTTTGAGCTCAGATGTCTATCTGTGGGCTCTTCATTGCATACCATGGTCATTGCTTCTCTTTTTAGTGGAACTGTCTTCAGCCCACCATTTCTTCCTCCAGAAGTCCCAGGAAATATTTTATACTGAGTAATTTGTAAAAGGAATACATAAAAAGACCCTGGCTCTAGTCCACCTCAGCCATGGAAAACCTACTGGGTAATCTTGAATTAATCACTATCTCTCAACCCAACCTATTCCACAAAATAGTTTTTGTGGGAGAAATGGGGGCAGGTGTGTGTGTGTGTGTGTGTGTGTGTTAAAACTGTAAAAGGAGGACTGCCCCAAGGCAATGTGTGCTTGTGCAAAAGGGAAGAGGCTTTGGCCAGTGCTATTTTTGTCATTGTGAAAAAAGCACTGGATCTTTCAGACATCTCTGCTCAGATTTGAAAATATTGTTAAAAACTGAATAAGGTTTATGTAAAATGACAGTTTGAATTTAAAAAATAGTTGTAAGAATTTTCCTCCAAATGTATTTAGGTTATATGTTATACAATGGACATAACAAGACTCAGAATTGAAACTTATGTATAAATATATTCTCAACATATTTTTTGAAAGCCCTTACATTTAAAGGTTTACATAAAATTTTATATTAACAATTCTTTTTAAAAAGAATTTTGTGCATCCAATATTTACCACTGCTGGTGCTGAAATTTACAAATAATAAATTTGAACTATATCAGTGAGTTGATCTTGAAGTATAATGTAACTTTTGAAACTTAATTGTGTCCTAAACAAAAGAAGGAATTAAGAAATAAATACTATATAGCTCATTACTCAAGGGAACCTAATTGTAAATAAGAAAAAATATCCATATCATATGGTTCATCATCATACAACTTCCTTCCACTTCCATTTAGCTATTTGAACTGCCCATTATATTTGCTTTCATTTCGTTTTCCTCATTTTTCTATTGTTTGTTTCTAACTATTGTCAAAAACAAAAGGTCAACAGGCCATCAAGCATATTGATTCCAGACTTTTCAATCTACTGAGTCTAAATGATTATTTAAAAAATAAATGTGAGTTCGAATTCCACATTAGGCATGAAAGTTGACTTGGTTGTTGCTGTGAGAAAGATAGGTGGGAGTATCAAATATCTTTGCCACTTTGAGTTATATATAGTTGATATAGTTCTTGAGACATTAGAAGTTTTCCTCTATTCTTATATTTCCATTTCCTGTAAGAAATAACATAGAATAAAGGAAGCTGGGGGGGAGGGGGTTTGAAGGAAAAGAAATACAAGTTATCAGGGCTTTTTTTCTCATAGAATGCCCAGAACGGAGTTCCGGCACCTTTTTTGGATGGAACCTTATAGGGTAGGCAAGGGGGGTTGTATGACGTGTGTAAGTTCCAGCACCTTTTTTTTTTTTTTTTTAGAAAAAAAGCACTGCAAGTTATACACTCCAAACAAACGAATATACTTCACTCATGTCTATGGAGATTCTCACCAGGAGGCAATTGGACTTTCTTGTTTTTCTTTGATGACTTTTCGCTTCTCATGCAAGAAGCTTCTTCAGCTCTGACGGGATGGTGGGAAATGGAAGGATTTATATTCCTTGCAGACAGCTGGTCATTTGCATTCTTTTAAAGAGTCCTTGGGACCATTTGGAGGTTTTCTGTGTCATCAGGGTTACCTGATGACACAGAAAATGTGTGTGGAGCCTTCTGGCTGCAGGATTTTTTCTGCCCTGTTCCAGTAGTCTGCAATGTTTTTTGGAAATCCATTCATACTCCCTGAAAAAGCACCTTTGGGACATATTTAACTCATGTTCCATTAGACCGGCTTTATGTTGTCAATTTAAGTTGTTTTCATTCACAAAGATTTTAGGCTAGCAAAGAGTTGTTGCCCTAATTGAGCTGTGAGTTGCAAAAATGTGGATAGCCGGGAGATGGCAGTGAAGAAGAATTATCATCCCTGGGTTATCTAGATTTTGGCAGCTCAGATGTGAATGTCTTACCCAATACTGAAAGAAATTAGATCTGTTTGCTAAAAAAAAAAAAGTCAAATTACTACACCACAAAACTGCTTATAGAAAGCTAGACTTCCTTATTGTATTAGAGCAAGGCAGAGAGAAAGAGAGAGAGAGAGAGAGAGAGAGAGAGAGAGAGAGAGAGAGAGAGAGAGAGAGAGAGAGAGAGAGAGATACCAGTACTGAGTTCAGAGCATTTCCACTTCTTTGAAAAAGGAATAGTGACTTCTTGTCGGTTACAGTATGTTAACAGTTGATAACTAAGCTAATGTTTTGGATCTTGATGAACTTCAATCAGGTCTACCACTGAGAAGCAAAGGTAAGGATTTCTCCTTAATAATGACCTCAGATTTAATTTCTAAATGAAGAGAGAGCAAGCACATTTGTACTAAAACAGATCAGCATTCTGGCATTACCTTGCAACAATGCATGCGCGGAAAAGATAAAGGACATTTGTGCTCATTAGAAAAAAATACATTGGTCTAGAAAGGAAGGAACCCCATAATCTGATAATTAAACCTCAAAAATTTGCCTAGGTCAGTGAGTTAAGTGACTGGAGTAATATATCTCCTCTTCGTTGTTCAGAATTACTTAAAGGAAGGGCTTTTCAATTAGATGCACTATAAGGACGCTGGCATCTGAACAAGGTAAGCTGTTACTGGGTGCTCTGAGAAGAGTGCCAGTTAATTCACTTCTGGGGGTATCAAGTCATTCAAATGTGACACACACATATAAAATACTAAAAAACTCATCTTTAAATTTGCCTCAACCATAGATTCTGAAGATTAATTTTGAATAGACAAATCGAAATTTTATTATTACAAATGCCATAGGTAAACTTCAGTCACTTCTCCATTTTAGCCTAAAATTTAATGCAAAACTTCATTTTCAAACCAGCAAAATGAAAAAAAAATCAAACGGGGATGACCATCTTTCTTTTTTTCATAAGAATAAAATGCCTAGGGTACATGGCCTGGTGAAAGAAGCATTCCATGATACTTTCTATCTACAACAATTCCATGGCTACTAAGATTACAGAATGCTATCTGCCAACAGTATTATGGTTCATTTAATCTTCAGTTTCTACCTACAGACTGGGTCAAAATATAGAACCCAAGGATCAGATCTAAGGAAATGTCTTCAAGAACTCAGAATATATATCCCTTTGTCATATTTTGGATGGTCTAATAAAAGTATTTCCTACTGTATATTTTAGATTTCTATTTTCCAGTGTGATTGTCTATATTTTAGTAGCTCATTCAGTAGCATGGTTGGAAAAGAGAATAGTTTATGGTGGCAAAATATCAAATCTAGTGACATCTTTTCCATTTTTTATTAAAAGCTGCAAGTTTTTCTTTAATTTTTTTGCATTTAAATTTCTTAGTCTTAAAAAATGCTATCAGATTTCTTCAGATTCAGTTTCATGGTTTAACAAGAGCTTCTTGGGTAGATATACTGTATTAGTATATCCTACTTATACAAAACACTGAATCATTAAAGATCAGGGGTACGGAGGATTAATAAGTCAAATAAAATGTACTGTATTATTGAAACTAAGAAATAAAATCCTAAATAAACTCTGACTCTAATTGCTTCCTTATTAATATGAAATAGGAAATGAATTGCTACAGGAATAAGATGATACATATCAAACAACCATAATAGTTCTAAGCAATTACATTTTAGCTGAATATGAACAGCTTATTTAACTATTTATCCAAACACCAGGAATTTTAGTCCAGGTGAAAAAGTATGCTGCTACAATAAATTGGAGATGGTTTAAAAATAAAAAAGCTCTTAGGTGCTATCTAGAAATCAATTTAAAATATTTTTCAAAAATATTACTGAAATATAATGAAAGAAAAATAATGCATCCTGGAGCCACAAGTTGCTTCTTCCTGTACTAAAAATATTGTTTAATAGAGCAAGGAATTAGGTACGGTATGTTGGTTATGAGTAAAATAAAGAATTGTAACTAAAATTTTCTACAAGTTATAACATGAATCAGACTAAAGATAATTGTGAAAGATGACAAGTCCTAATCAAACAAGGAGAATGAGGGGAAAACAGATGCTTCTGGGTTTGGGTGCTGCTAAATATTTACTCTTTCTGGCAGTTTTAGCACAAAACAGAGGCATGTTTCTTTGACAGCACTGTTGTTTGGTTGAATTTGTTATTGCTCACATCCCTATCCTCTATTCTTTTGGAATCTCATTCAACATGATCCTTTTGCAAATGTGGGAACTAATATGTTTCTTTTTTAGATATTCATACCGAACTGCATATATAGCTAATATGGCATTGCAGTAGCAAACTCAAAATTAGGGAATGGTGCAAGAGGGAAACAGTAGAATTTATACTGGTCATTTCATGGTTTCAGCCTTCATTCCATGTATGTCATGGGATATATAATAAGGGACAAGAGTTCTACAAGTCAGGACAGAAGAAGATTAGATGATAGATATAGATGATGGTAGGTGATAGACAGACAGACAGACAGACAGACAGACAGACAGATTGATGGAAACAAGACAGGAGGAACAAGTGGAAGAAGATAAAATAATTTAAACAAAGCAAGGGTGTTGCAAAATAAAATTACAAGAATTAGGAACCTGGTGTGAGGAAAGACAACAGGAGACTTTATTTAGTCTTACAGTTCTTGGAGGGGATATGTGTTCACAACTGATAAATCCTTTGGGACACATATCTCTTACATATAAACTGCTTACTCTTAAGTTAGAGGTGAAACGCCTCTAGCCTGTAGGCCGGATGCAGATGTACAAAATTGTAAATAGCTTTGTTCAATTTGGTGGCTGCTGTGATGTGAAATGAAGTAGAGAAATAAGTGGTTTCCTGCTCTGCAGGACTGACAGGAAGTTCTTACTTCTTACTCAAAGTGGGAGTTATATTAAAAGTGGCAATAATTCAACTCTATCTGCTCTATAGATACAGTACTGCAGAAGATGGAAACAGAGTCATGCCTGTGTAGAATAGATTGTACCATTTCATAGTGTGAAATGGTGTCACAACGTTGATTCCTCCCCACGTTGAGAAACATCAAGCAATAGGGGTAGGGAAAGGGAGAACATAACTGGAAATATTACAACAAAGGGAGTTGTAGCTATTGATCTGCGGAAATGAACTTTGTGCAAGAGCCTAGGAAGCAGCCCCAAACCCATGACACTTGGTCTGAAATCAAGGCAGCAATTGCCAACCCAGAATGTTGAGTCCTCAGGACAATGCCTAGCTGGACGTAGGCTGTGCTTGAAATAGCCATCCATTGTGTTCCATCCCCACCCTCCTGCTTTTTAAAGCCTTTTAACAGGTACAAACAATGTTGTGCATATTTTTGCAGTACTATGCAAAAATGCTAATGGGCATATACTGCAAATGAAGCAAGTCAGATTATATTTTTCTGAAATCAAATTTTATAATACCAAACACCTACACTAGACCCTTGTGCAAATGAATGAATCCAAAAGAAGAAGGAAGAAGAGGGGGAGGAAGGAAGGCTTGATGTAAAGTGAAATCTGAAATTAGCAGAATGAAACCTGCTAAAGCCTATATTTAGAATTTTTTAAAATGCCTGTGGTCTTCTGTAATGTTTAATGTAATCTATTCAACATGAAAGCCAAACTACAGGCAACATTGTTCATATTATTTAGTTCTGCATCCTGTATCTTATTTCTTTTTAACAAATAGCTGGCTCAGGGACTAGTGAGCCAGAATCAGTCGAAAGTAAAAGAGAAGGTAAACCAAATCAGACCCATTAAATCTCTGACTATACGATGTTTTAGGAAAAATGTAATTTAAAAGCCAAACAGCAAATGTAATTCACACAACAGTTATTTCACTGGTTCCATGGAATATTTTACTTTTTAGTGAAGTGAGGATTCTCTTCTGTAAATCACCAGCTGCTTTTGGGGCGCTCAATTTTTAAAAGCAGTTTGAGGGAAAAAACATGTTTAATGCCCACATGGAAAATTTAATCCTTTGCTTTCAAGTATATATTATGTATTTTTGCACATGCAGTGAATTATGATTAGATAATATAAATATTTCAATCATCAACCCTCGTCCTCCATAACCATTTTTGTAGTGATTTGCTTAACTCCCAATAAGCAAAGCCTCTGCAGGACAAAGAAAATCATCTTGCACACTGTCAAATCTAGATGTGAAGTTTCATTTTAAAAAAATGTTTCCGGGAAGACAAGGTCTGTTCATATCATATAGAATCCATTGGATCTAATATCTGAATTCTGTAGATGACTTTGAATCAAATACTAAGGGAAGGACAAAGAGGATACATGATGACCA